AAAATTTATTGGGGATTTTGTGCAGTTCCAACAATTATTAGGAAGTTTTTTTTTTTTTTTTTTTTTTTGATTTTGAAAGTTATTGGGGTTTTCTACAAAATGTTGAAAGTTCTTGGGGATTTAGTATGATTTTGTAAGTTATTGAGAGTTATAGCAATATGCTGAAAGTTCTGGGGGTTTAGTGAAGTTTTCCCATATTTTTTTATTTTAATATTATGTATTGAGATCCAATAGTCGTAATTGTCATTTCTGTATTCAATACGGACTACCGTTCGAACTTTAAAGTGCCTCAATTTATTTTTAACTTGAGTGTCATAAAGAAGTTGATTAACTATCATGAAGAAGATATCTTTTGGTCAATAGTCATTTTGGATGTGATTTTAAACAAAGAATATTGCCCTTTCTACAACAAAATTATAACTACGCATGAGATAGCCTTAGTAAAACATAGTGCAAGACTTTCAAATTCTCTATCGTGCATCAAACTATAAATTTTTTAGGCTTCCCAACGAGAGAGTGTAGCTTTGCTATGTAACTTATTGGATTGTTCCATCATAAATAAAAATTTATTAACAAAATTTGCTTTTATATTTTAATATGATTTGATTGAGACCTGATAGCCATAATTGTCATTTCCAAATTCAATAGTACAGGTTAAGTGTTTGACCTTCGAAAACGTCTTAATTTAAAATTTTCTATAACTTGTGTGTCATACAAGAAGATGATTTTTTTGTTTGGGTCACATACAATTTGATGTTAGTTTTTGGAAACATAATATACGTTAATAAAGTAATTGGAAAAATATAAAATTTTGTATGCACTTCTTAATTCATTTGACCAGCATATAGATCCAACAACTATGTAGATAATTATTTTCTAAAAATTTAAACAAAATTCCGTGAGAGAGAGAATGTCAGTCAAAGGATGACCAATTTCATTAAGAATTTTCTCTAAACCTACCACTCCACCAAAATTTCGAAATTATGTTTACAGCTGACAGTTATAATTTCATATAATCTACCACTCCACCAAAATTTCAAAATTATAATTACAGCTGTGAGCTATAAAACATGTGCCCACTAGGTTGGCCAAAATTTGGTCCCAGGAAACGATAAGGGATTTTTGGGTTTAAATCCAAAATTTTACTCTCATTTATTTTTAAATCCACATACTTCTATATGTACTCATAGACTCAAAGAAAACTTTCTTTTTTAATCTTTAAACTCAAAGCATTAAATATAGTTTTGCATATCTTCAATAGAAAATTAAAACATCCCAAAATGTCATTGTGTTCTTGCTACTCACTCTTAATTCATAACCATTATTTTCCTTTTTCTCACTTTCGTCACTCTTTCTCCGCCTCTCTAGTTTGGGCTCCCTCAACCCTGTGTGCCGCCCTCCTACTCCCTCTGCTCCGCCACCTAATTCCATCTTCTCCTAACCCTCAACTCATTCACTTTCCCATCATAAGCTTGTTATGCTCTGATACCACTTGTTGTGCTTCGAGGAACCAAAACAAACGTCGAGAGAGAAGGCCAAACAATCTAAAATAACGACACTAACACAAACAATAAATTTTATGTGGTTTGGCTTGCCTACGTCCACGGGGCAAGAAGGGGACGAGTTTTCACTAATAGAGAAGAAGAATACAAACTGAGATTACAAAATCACACAAAAACTCACTAATTAATCTCACCAACTAATCTCTTAATCTCTCAAACAAAACCCTAACTAATAGCTCCAGAAAAAACTCTTTTCTGTGCTCCAAATATCCCATTTTCCTCTCTCCCAAAACCCTAAAACGTGTGTTAGTATTTATACCAAACACCAATACCAAACAGATCAGGAAACCCAAACCAGGCCCAAAATCCCGATCCCGTCGACCGACATATAGCCCCGATCAACCGGCCAGAAATACGAAATCTCAACAAAATCAATTACAGGGTTTCGGTCGACCGACAATGAACTCCGGTCGACCGGAAACGTGTACACTACAGGGTATTCTTTTGGCCTTTTGTTCGGACGATCGCGAGGATAAGTCGGTCGACCGTGAACCCTATCCGGTGGACCGGACCACATTGTCGGTCGACCGAAACACTGTAATTGATTTTGTTAAGATTTTGTGTTTCTGGCCGGTCGACCGGGGCTATATGTCGGTCGACCGGATCGGGATTTTGGACTTGGTTTGGGTTTCCTGATCTGTTTGGGATTGGTGTTTGGTATAAATACCAACACACGTTTTAGGGTTTTGGGGGAGAGGAAAATGGGATATTTGGAGCACAGAAAAGAGTCTTTTCTGGAGTTATTGGTTAGGGTTTTGTTTGAGAGATTGAGAGATTAATTGGTAAGATTAATTGGTGAGTTTTTATGTGATTTTATAATCTCAGTTTGTACTCTTCTTCTCTATTAGTGAAAACTCATCCTCTTCTTGCCCCGTGGACGTAGACAACTTGTCGAACCACGTAAAATTCATTGTTTGTGTTAGTGCCGTTATTTTGGATTGTTTGGCCTTCTCTCTCGGTGTTTGTTTTGGTTCCTCGAAGCACAACAAGTGGTATCAGAGTACAACAAGTGGTATCAGAGCACAACAAAGCTTACATATTATAGTTACAACTTAAGCTGCTATATTTATAGCTTAACATGTTATTCTTACAGCTTAATCTACAATACTTACAAATTAAGCTGCTATACTTATAATTTAGAAAGATTTTATAATATATCCTTTATAATATATCCATAAATTGTCACATGACACAGAGAGATGTAGGACTTGGTAGGTGTTTCTTTTTATTGTTTGAAAATAAAAGAAGAAATTTTTATTAAGAGAGAGAAGATGATGATGTAAGACGACAGTTAAGAGATGAAAGATAAAGGGTGTTCAGAGAGGGAGAGAAATGGATATGTTGGGCACCGACACATTCACTTGTAGCGAAAGCGATCACCTCGAGAGAAAACCCTGGTTGAATTTACACAAAACTCAAGCCAACTTCGATGTTCCTGTTTTGATATGAAACAAGAACATAAGTGAATATCTCAGCGAGGTGAGATATACACTCTTCCAGATATCAAATCTAGATTTGAATATTGAGGGGATGACAAGCAATGACAAATACATAGAAAACAATACCCAAAGTAAATGAGGTGAGAGATATACGTGGTTCGGCAAACTTGCCTACGTCCACGGGAGGGGTGAAGAGAGATTCCATTATGATGGAGAACACCGACGACTTGCACAACCCACAAGCTCGTTCCAAAGATGATGCTTTGATTTTACCCAAGAGAAGATGACATATTTCTTGTACAATCTCTCCAATAACTCTCTCTTTTCTCTCCTCAAGATCTCACATTTTTCAGATCTGAAAAATACTTTTTTTTTGTTGATGACATCCCATCTACTCTACAAAAAAACCCTAGGAACGAAGTTCCTATTTATATCAAGGAAACAAGGTTCAAAATAAAAACAACCCGCCCGCTCCAGTTGCTCGGGTGCCGAGACGCCTCGGGGTGTCTCATGCGCTGAGACACCCTGAGGTGTCTTGCGCTTACAGGATACGACGGTGGAGGAGAGGGAGGGAGAAGGCATGGTGAAGAGCATGGCGAGAGGCCTGACCAAAGAGTTAGAGGGAGTGGAGAAAGTGAGAAGAGGGAGAATTATGAGATACGGGTAAAGAGAGAGGAGGAAGGAGACAAGGGTATTTTAGGGTTTTTAAGATTTTTTAATAAATATTGAATAAATATAAAATATATTTGATGTTTCGAGATTTAAGATAAAAAGAGAGTTTTTTGGGTGTATAAATACAAATAGAAATAAGTGGGTTTAAAAATAATGAGGGTAAAGCTTTGGGTTCAAAGGCAAAAACTTTAGAAATTTGTGAATAGAAAGATTTGAACACGAGTTGCTCTTCCAGCATTAGATAAAAAACTCCATGGTAAAACTCTGAAAATGTGATTAGGATTGATTGTTATGATTCGACAATATCTAATAATTATATTTTTCTTTCCCCCAATTGTTATGATTTGACAGCATCTAATAAATATATTCTGCTTTTCCCCCCTTCCTCTACACTAAGGGCATGTTTGCCCCATACCTATTTTAGGAAACTTTATAAGTTACTTATTAATTATGTTTACTTATTTTATTAGAGGGTAAATTAGTTTTTTAACACGGATAAGTAAATTTAGTTATAAGCGCCAAAAAAATAAGTTGGAAAATTAACTTTTTTCCTACTTATAAGGAAGAAAAAGGGAGATAAGTAAGGTTTATCAAATGAAGTTTTGAATCCTTATAAGTAAAAATATACTTATAAGTTAAACCAAACTGCATACTCGCATAATATATTTCTTACGGAAAATATCCCTCCATTGTGCATTTTGTTCTAAGTTTCTCACATGCTAAGCATACTCCTGATGTATTTCTTAGATTGCACTTTCTATTAGAACAAACCACCACGTAGGGTGCTCTGAACCATTAAAGGGGGCAGTGAAATATTCATTCTGTCTCTCTGCTTGCTAATCAATGGCTCAGAACCTCCCGCACGGTGTGGGAGGATCCTGCACGGTGCAGGAGGATCTCTGAAGATTCGTTCTGTATTTCTTGATGGAAAATATATATCTCCCAATTCCCATTGTGCATTTTGTACGAAGGTTTAAACGTGTGGGCATCTGACATGCAATCAGCACAAAAATTTTTTGCTCTCTTTTATTCCCTTTCTCTGTAGTGCATGCAGATGACATGTGATAAGCAAGAATCATCACCCTTGTCCTCGAATCAAACGACTCCTTGGCCCCACGTGTCTTGGACTTTCAGACCTACCATTTGACAAGTCAACCTCACTGTCCTATATAACTAACCATAAAAATGTTTACATATCATCATCAACACTTGCATACAAATTTACCATCCAAATTAATTTGATACATAATCAAAATATTTCTTCTTCTTCATGAAGTGGTTGTGTAGTGTGTTTCATCTTCTTTCCTCCTTTGTTCTTCATGGTAACTTGCTTGTCTCCATTAGAGATGCAGTGAAGTATTTAATGGGCTTGCCAGGGGCAAGCGGGTATGGATCCAAATCCACAGGGGAGGAAGTAACAGAGGGAGTTTCTCTCTCTTGTAATCTAACTGCTATAATCACTGGTAAGTCTCATCAGTACGCTACATCGCTCTCTTTTGCCCCTCATGCGAATAAATCTGCACAGCTATTATAGGAGTGAGTATAGGAGTGAGTCAAACGTTTCGTATTCTGAGGAGCAAGGAGACTAGCTAGTGAACGTGGTTCATGCTGTTAAATGTGTGCCCAAGGGTTATCAACATTTCTTAGATCAATGCACAAATTACGGAGTCTTATAATTCTAGAGTTGAATTTATTTTGTGCACATCTAATGTCATAGACCAAGTTCAACGGATGATTCTTGTAGAGCACAATAATGATATGATCAATAAATTTGATTGGGCATGTTTGATATTTTGTTTTGTGCTTTAGAAATAAAATGTATTTAACTCTTAATTTTGGTTTTGTTCATCTTCCTTTATCTTTTGCTTATATTTGTCTTTCAAGAGAGAGTCTTATTACCTGTGTATTTTCTTGTCTTTTTTTATTCTGCATATATTCTAATTGCTTCTCCAAATATATTTAGTTAATGAAACAACGGAAACCTGCACGTGTACCCACCATCTTCTGTTAATTTTTTTTAGTATATATAATTGGTTAAACTATGTTTTATATAATTAACTAATATTTTTGGTTCAATTAATGGGTTCTTGATACTAATCATGTAGTTTGCTTAAGTTTAGGAGTCATAGTTAATTAAGCTTGAGTACGATGCTATCAAGTATTAATTTAATCAGATATTGATTGTTCTTACCAACTTAATTTATGTAATTGCATATTTGGTTAGGGGCTACGTCAGGGATTGGAGCAGAGACAGCAAGAGTGTTAGCAAAGAGAGGAGTAAAGTTGGTAATCCCCGCAAGAGATATAAAGAGGGCAGTAGAGGTGAAGAAGATAATACTGAGAGAGAGCCCACAAGCTGAGATCATTATAATGGAAATGGATCTCTCTTCATTTGATTCTATTCAAACCTTTTGTTCTAACTTTATCTCCCTTGGCTTGCCACTCAATATCCTCATGTGAGTTCTTGGCTAATTCTCTTAATTAAGTTAACTATAAGCCTATTTTCTATGTACAAAGGTTATTTAACTTTTGCACTAATTTTTTGTTGTTGGATATTTAGAAACAATGCTGGAAAGTATAATCAGAGGTTAGATCTTTCTGGTGACAAATTCGAGATGACTTTTGCAACAAATTACTTGGGTAAGTAATGAAATAATAGCATAAAAATATGCACGATATATAATTGCATGACAGGTTAGAACTGCTTACATAAAGCAAATACACATATATGGGGTTCAAAATAACATTAAAAAAACGATTAATCACAGAACACAGATTTAAAGAGATTAAGAGCAGATAGCAGCAAATAACCCTTTAATTATTTCAGAAAAACTGAGAGCGGAGAGAGCGAACAGATTGATTACAAAATTGCTGGTAAAACCTCATCTCAGAGATATTTATTATAGAATTATAAAAGATAGAGAAATCGTAATTCTGCTATAATTAGTTTCAAAAAGACTCCCCTGAAAATCAGCCTTCAAACAATTCAATCTCAAACAGAGTTCCTCACTGAAGAACTACGGAAGAAAAACAAATCTCCGCATTTTTCTTTTTTAAATTACAGAAACTTCATATAGGCAGCCTAACGCAGATTCAGGAAAGAAAATTGTCAACTTACTGTCAAGTGATACATTGCAGGTCACTATTTGCTGACAGAACTCTTGCTCGAAAAAATGGTTCAGACAGCATCAACGACTGGAATCGAAGGTCGTATAATCAACCTATCCTCAGTGGTTCACAGTTGGGTGGGAAGAGGAGGGTTTCAATTTTGCAACATGCTCAATCCTAAAGAGTATGCACTTCAATTAACCTAATCTTGGATGAGCTAAAGTAGTCATTGATTAAAAGCTTTTATATTGAATTTACAGTTTTGAATTATTTCATAGGTATAATGGAACGCTCGTTTATGCACAGTCGAAGCTGGCAAATATACTGCATGCCAAAGAGATTGCGAGGCAGTTAAGAGTATGTATATATATAGTACTGTAACAAAATTCATCAATTGAATTACCTTCCTAATTAATGGAGCTTAATTGAACTTACAGGAAAGAAAAGTAAAGGTCACAGCAAACGCTGTCCATCCAGGAATTGTAAATACTGGAATAATTAGAGACTATAAAGGCTTAATTACAGGTATGATGCTATTTTGGTTAATATTATTATTATTAATAATTAATTGGATTGTGAAATATTGATTAAAACTATGAATATACATCATGATACTCGTACGCATCTACGTTCTTCTAATTTTCTTTTTCTTTTTAATGTAATGCAGATTTAACGTTTTTTCTCGTGTCAAGACTACTCAAATCTATACCTCAGGTTGGTATTATTTACCAAGAAATGTTAACCTCTATACAACTATTATATCCTAAAATCTATAAATTTAAGTATAAACATATTTTTACTATAGGGGGCATCTACTACGTGTTATGCTGCTTTAAGCTCCCAAATGATTGGAGTGTCAGGAAGATATCTTGCTGACTGTAACGACAGGATATGCTCAAATCTAGCAGAGGATGAGAAAGAGGCACAAAAGCTTTGGGAAGAAACACATGCATTGATTCAGAAAAGACTAGTAAGCCAATCATATTGTGCATAGCGTATATATACACATATATGAATGTGTAAAATAGCTTTGGAGTTCTGTGGATAACATGTATGTATGTACAGCTATGAAATGCTTAGATTTTGTGACGTAGTTTCCTACTTTCTGCTGAGAATTATTAACATGTATAAATATATTTTTGTTTGAAGATATTATGGTTCCTACATAAATTGGGCGTGCCAAAAACAAGCGCATTTTAATGATAGGATTACTTAAGATGATCGTCTCTAGTGGTTATACTGTTAAAGGTTTTAAATTAACATTAACCATAATCACACAATAAACAAACTCGTTAATCTATGTCCTTTTTTTTGACAACCGTTAATCTACGTTCTTATATATTGCACAAATTTAGGACCATTGCAATACCCAATACATCAAACATATATGGAATAACTATGAACTAACAAAAACAAACGGCAAATTTTAAACGTTCCCAAAATAATCATAAAACAAAAAATTCATTGATTTAGATATTTGAAATAGAAGGAGTGGGAAAAATGAGATACTTTTACAAATAAGTAAACAACATAATCTTTTCATTCTTAAAAGAGATTTTACAAACTTAAAAGAAGAGGGACAAACTCGCATTGACATCTATATACTACTACATAAAGTCAATTAAGGGTGGTGCAAAGTTGGATGAGTGGTGGACAAGTCTTTTTCAATTGTAATTGAAAGGGTTAAAATATAATTTTATAATAATTGGTGTTTTATTTTCTTTTTTTACTTCTAGAATATTCTATACTATTCAATGTAATAAGAAATATGAGCCCATGTAATTGAATGTTTTGTTCACATCTATACTAATACTAGCATTATTACATGTGCATATGCACGTGCAGGAGGCGCAAAACTTTTTAATAGATTATTATATCTTAAAGATGCATCAGGGATTCGATTATACTTATGACTAGCATTGTCGTACATGCATATGTGTTGTGCGCAGTGGAAATTTCGGCAGCACTTCGGCAGCACAACAAGAGAGTCAGATCGCAATAAGAATTCCCGTCTCACCAATGAGACAAGAATCTGAAGCGGATATCTCAACCAAGTGAGATATCGGCTCTTCCTCTCATCAGTTCTAGGACTGACCTGTCGAGGGATCCTAAAAGCTATTACAAATCATACAAATAGCGATACAACCAATTTTACGTGGTTTGGCAAATTGCCTACGTCCACGGGGCAAGGAGGGGGGAGATCTACTATTAGAGGGGAGAATACAACTAGGGTTTACAATCACTCTCAATCTAAACCCTCAAACAAACTCTCAAATCCCTCATACAATTATCTCTCTCAAAAAAGGTGCACAAAAACCAAAGAAGAGACTGCACAAATTTTTCTCCCAAATTCCGTGTTCTCTTTGCTGCAGCCGCCTAACACCCAAAAATTCCTTAGCTTGCACCCGGTTCTGTACCGCAGCCGCAAAAAAAGAAATCAACACCTCCTGCGCTCAAAACCCTATGAATTAACAAGTCTTATGCAGCGGAAGAAGTCGGGTCATGGGCTTTTCTTTATCCGCTGGACTCACGCATCTTCTTTTCTCCAGCTCGTGGTCATCGTGGTCCCCCCACGTGCTCACAATTCTCCACCTCGGTGAAGTTTTCCCAAAACTGAGCCGACACCAAAGCATCCAAATGTTCCACTTGTTGTGTCCAGTATGCCGTGAAGTTAATTCACGACAACGGACTCAATCCACAACAAGTCGGGAACCCGAACGAGAGTCCAAACAATCTCACCCCCATCAACTAATCCAAACCGACTGCATCTGAAAGACTGCCTACGTATCCTCTTGCCCAAGGAATCAAGCCGCCCGTAGTTCATCCAAATGGCCGCCAACGGCCTCAACAATTACGAATGTGCAACAAGTTTTGACAATGATCAAACTTGCAACTCGGAACCACCTTAGTGAGCATATCCGTCGGATTATCCTTCGTGTGGACTTTCACGATTTCCACATCACCATCTTCAAGAACATCTCGAACGAAGTGATAACGAACATCAATGTGCTTCGTCCGCGCATGAAAAACCTGATTCTTCGCCAATAGATAGCACTCATGCTATCACAATGAATAGTGACGGACCTCTGCGATATACCAAGTTCCTCCAAAAGTCCTCGAAGCCAAATAGCCTCCTTCACAGCCTCTGTAACTGCCATATACTCTGCCTCCGTCGTAGACAAAGCCACCGTAGACTGTAAGGTGCATCTCCAACACACCGGCGCACGGGTCAAAGTGAACACATACCCCGTCGTAGACCGGCGTTTATCCAAATCCCCGGCATAATCCGAATCAACATAACCAATGCATAACTGCCCACCTTTAGTGTCCCGCTCATAAACCAAACCAACATTGAGCGTACCTCGAATGTACCTCAAAATCCATTTCACGGCGTCCCAATGACCCACTCCTGGATCGTGCATGTATCTCGATACCATGCTCACCGCCTGTGACAAATCTGGCCTCGTACATACTATTGCGTACATCAAGCTCCCAACCGCACTCGCATATGGAGTCTTCGACATTAACTCTCTATCTTCAACTGTACATCAAGCTCCCAACCGCACTCGCATATGGAGTCTTCGACATTAACTCTCTATCTTCAACTGACTTTGGTGAAAGACCAGCTGAAAGCTTCAAATGGGCTCCCAGTGGTACACTAACTGGCTTCGTATCCATGCTAACATGGAATCGCTGTAGAACCTTCTTCAAATAAGCCATCTGTGTCAAACAAATTATGCCATTCTTCTTGTCTCTGCCGATCTCCATCCCTAGAATGCGCTTCGCCTCACCCAAGTCCTTCATCTCAAACTCATTTGATAGCTGAACTTTCAATTCATCTATAGCCGACCTGGAAATAGAGGCAACCAACATGTCATCGACATAGAGCAACAAATAAATGTACGCACCTCCTTTCAACTTGCGAAAATATACGCAAGGATCAAACTGGCTCCGAGTGTACGAATGACCAAGCATAAAACCATCGAATCGCCTATACCACTGTCGAGGAGACTGTTTCAAACCGTATAGCGATTTCTTCAACCTGCAAACCAACTTATCTTTCCCTGCAGCTCGGAATCTCAATGGCTGAGTCATATATATTTCTTCGTCAAGATCACCATGAAGAAATGACGTCTTCACATCCAACTGATCTAACTCTAAACCATACTGTGCCATCAAAGCTAGCAAAATCCGAATCGAAGAGTGCTTCACCACCGGAGAGAAAACCTCATTATAGTCAATACCTTCTTCCTGTGCATAACCCTTCGCAACCAACCTAGCTTTGAACCTCAATGGAGTGCCCTCAATGCCCTCCTTCTTCGTGTATACCCACTTGCAACCAATTGCCTTCCGCCCCTTTGGAAGCTCAACAAGCTCCCATGTATCGTTCTTATGAAGAGATTCCATCTCTTCCTACATAGCCACCTGCCACGAATCAGCCTTCGAACTCTGCTCGGCCTTTCTGAATGTAGTAGGTACCAACTCATCAATACTCTCCACCGGAAGTGCATACGCAACTGTGTCGGCATACCGTGCTGGCATCTGTATGTTTCTCCTCTGTCTCCGAGCCGCAATTGAATCCTGAACCTGAGCCGTCGGTTCCTGATCCTGCACATTTGTACTCGTATCCTCCGTGTCACCGTCGTGCTTGCCTGGCGTCACCTCAGTCGGCACCTGCATGAATACTGTACCATCTGGACAATGTGGAGCTGCATCGATCTCCACCACCTGCGATATCTCCTCCGTCGGGTCGCTCTCCACCTGATGAGAGCTGGGAAGCTTCAAGATAGAAGCCTCATCGAATGTGACATCCCTACTCAGCACAATCTTCTTATCCACTGGATCCCAAAGCTTGTATCCCTTGACACCACGCTTGAATCCTACAAATATGGCCTTCCTAGCTCGAGGTTCCAATTTATCAGTTCTAACATGATAATATGCAGGGCACCCAAATACCTTGAGCTGGTCATAATCGTGTGCTGGCTTTCCCGACCACTTCTCCATAGGGGTTTTCCCCTCAATCGCAGATGAAGGCAGCCTATTAATAAGGTGGCTCGCATACGTAAGTGCCCCAGCCCAAAAGATCTTCTCCAAACCACTCTGCGACAATAAGCATCAGATCTTCTCTAGTAAAGACCGATTCAACCTCTCTGCCATCCCATTTTGCTGCGGTGTATGACTAACTGTGAAGTGTCTCTCTATGCCCTCGTCTCGACATAGCTGCTGAAAGGGGTCAGAAGTATACTCACCACCGTTGTCGGATCGCAACGTCTTGATCTTTCTCCCAGTCTGCAGTTCTAATCTCTTCTTCCACTCCACAAACAAATCTAGGACTTCACTCTTCTTCGTCATAGTGTACACCCAACAACGCCTAGAATAGTCATCAACAAACGTGACGAACCAGTGTCGACCACCAAGTGATGCAGTCTTGGTGGGACCCTAAACGTCTATGTGCACGTAGTCCAGGATGCCCCTCGTCTGATGAATGGTAGTCCCGAACTTCACCTTTGTCTTCTTGTCAAGAACGTAGTGCTCACAGAACTCAATCTTCCCACTCTTGGCTCCCTTCAATAGCCTCTGCTTGCACAATACCTGCAGTGACTTTTCACCTGTGTGCCCCAACCTATAGTGCCAAAGTCTGCTCATGTCCGCTTCTGAAATAGCCAAAGCAATCTGGCCAATCTCGGTGCTTCCCTTCAGATAATACAAATTTCGATTGCGGACTCCCTTCATCACCACCAATGATCCCTTAGTAACCTTCGCTACAGCGTTTTCGAAAGTCACCTTGAATCCCTTCGCCTCCAAAGCTCCAACTGAGATAAGATTTTTCTTCAGTTGAGGAACAAATCTCACCTCCTTCAACTCACGGACTACTCCATTGTGCATCCTAATCCGCACGGTACCTATCCCACAAACGCCACAGGATTGATCATTTCCCATGACAACAACACCCCCGTCGACTTTCTCAAAAGATGCAAACCAGTCTCGCCTAGGGGTCACATGAAAAGTAGCGCCGGAATCAAGCATCCAATCTGATGCATCCACATAGTTCACCTCCGAAGTAATCAGTAGAGAAAAGCACGAATCATCGGAATCATCGCCTTTCG